CTGAGGATCGAACCCGGGCCGCACGCATGCCAAGCGAGCGCGCTACCGCTTGAGCCACATCTCCAGCCCCCCCCCTTTTTATTTTTGAGACAGGATCTCAGTAAGTTGCCAAGGCTGGCCTCGAACTTGGGATTTTCCTGCCTCAGCCTCCTAAGAAGCTGAGATCATAGGCATCTTTTTAAAAATGTCTTTGAAATCATTTCATGGTCCAAGAGCTCTAATTATCAACATATAACTCTAAGGTAACTAGGCACTTAGTGCACGTATTGGAGAAGCAGAAAGAGAAGAAAACATTTGTTTGATTTCTAAAAAGTGAAGTTCAAGGAGCTAAAGGTACAATGACTTGGCATTCAGGAGTTTACTGTGCTAGAATATAGCTAGAAGTCTGCTGTTTTAGAAGCTATAGTTAGGGACATGAGAGTAAATAGTAGTACAATGAGAATATATATTAAGAAAACACAACCCAAGGACAGGATTCTAAATGCAATGAAGTTACAGTAAGAGGATAAAAGAAAAACATGAGAAGAGATCAGAAAGATAGGAGAACCCAAATGGCATCTGTAGTATCATCAAAGCCAAAGGGAAATATTTCAAGGTAAAGTAAATGCTTCAGGAAGGCAAGAATGCAGCTTGACAATAAGAAAAAGCCACCTTTCCATGGTATTATGAGAGGTCAAAACCAAATTATAAATACAGACTATAACACTACCTACCTTCCAGAACAAATAGCTAATTTAAATTATACAGAGAAGCTGAATACTAATAAAAAATTTAAAAACCACTGAAGACAATGGRGATGATGGTTAGTTACACTGATGACTATTTACATGAACATTGCCAAATGCCTTTTAGGAGAAAAAGATAATACTAATACCTAACATTAATGGCATCRTGTGTGTCAGACATTGTGTTAATGCTTTATATTGATTGTCATTTAATCCTCATAACCATATTATCCCCATTTTATTATGAAGTAACTTGTCCAAGGTCACAGAGCTAATCCATTGCTGAGAAGAAATCAAAACCCAGGTAGTCTATCCTGTAAGACCAAACAAATGAAGAGATTTAATTAAAAACAGTAAGTTCCAGTGTTTCTTCTGAAGTTGGTATAAATTTAGTTATATTCCATATCAGCTAGTTATCTAACATGGTATAAACTGGCAATCCAGAATAATGTAGCCAAGCCAGGCATGGTGGCGCACACCTGTAATCCCTCAGCTCAAGAGGCTGAGACAGGARGATCGTGAGTTGAAAKCCAGTCTCAGCAAAAGCGAGGGCTAATAAGCAACTCAGTGAGACCCTGTCTCTAAATAAAATGCAAAATATACAAAATAAAGCTGAGAATTAAAAACAAGATTAAAAAATAAATAAGTAAATAAAGCTGGAGACGTGGCTCAGTAGTTGAGTATCCCTAAATTCTAGGTATTAGCTCCCCATCCTCTCAAAACGTGACACCAAGCTTTTCTTTCTTCTTCTTCCACCACAAGCYACCCTATCAAATTAATAGGCAATGTCAGATTAACTGAGTTCACCAATGAGGCAAAGAGGCAACTAGTTACATACTAAAAAAGACAGATTAAAATGATTGGAAATATTATAAAATAAAAGTTAATTGATCAATGGCTAAAGGAACTAAGTGGTATCCAAGAGTAAGAATGTGTCCATTAATGCTAACCCTTAGGCTACCTGTATTTTAAGATAATTTTTTTTAAAAAAAGAAAAAACTCAAGTAAGACTAATAATGATCAACAAAATGGAAAAGACCTTTATCATAAAACATTTAAGATATGTAATCCAGAGCAGTTTAGACCTCATTCAAAGGCATTCCAGAAATTAGGGTACTAGGGCATTAAAAATAGCAGAGAAGTGCTCCAAAAATCTCAGAAAATGTGAAACCATCAATGTATCATCTCTTTTGAGGAAGAAGAATAGATACAGGAGGGTTTTGGAAGGATTGCTCAGACTTTTCACATAGAAAACAGATTTCAAGGATGACAGGACACAAAAACTAACAACTGGACCTAGGAAGTCATTCCAAATTAAATCTGATATTCTCCTATACACTAAACATTCACAAAATTCCCTTTCCTAGAAATCCTAAACACATACTTAAACAGTTTCAAGTGGTCCCACATAGAGACAGATGTCAAATTAGATATCCTCCCAAGGTCCCTTGTAATTCTTAACTCCATAAGTTTTTTTTTTTTAATTTTTGAGACGAGGTCTTGCCATGTGACCTACCCTGGCCTCAAACCCCTGGGCTTAAGGTAACCTCTTCCTCAGTCTCCCAGGCAGTTGGAACTACAGGTGTGTGTCAGCAGACTTGGATCTCAGTTTTTGTTTTGTTTTGTTGTGGTGCTGGGGATTGAACCCAGGACCTCGTGCATGCAARGCAAGCACTCTACTAACTGAGATCCCCAGGGCCTTGTGCAAGCAAGGCAAGCACTCTACCAACTGAGATCCCCAGCCCTGGATCTCAGTTTTAAAGAGCAAATGAAAATACTAAGTCCAAGCATGCAAATACAAAATAGTGATTCCAACCACAGAACACTCACCCCAAATCTCCCTATGCCCAGTCCTTCAGTGCCATTGAGCACACAAGAGGCAGTGTGGTRTAGAAGGAAGTCTCCTATATCATGAGGCAGAAAAGCTGGAGTTTTGTCTCTGACATTCATGAACAAGCTCTGTATAACTTTGGGCAAGTCATTTTCTCTAGGCCTCAGTTCTCTCATCTGCAAAATGAGGGAATTTGGAATCAAATAATCTCTAAATTCTTTTTCTCCCTAGAATTCTTCTGACTTTATAGCTTAGTATTTTTTCCCAAAACTTATTCCTCCCTCTACAGACATCATTTATCCTCACTTTTTTTGCCACCCAAAGGAAGATCTAAGATCACTTTAGCATGTTATTCTAAAAAACCTCCCAAAGGAAGGCATCTTTTAAATACATGATACAAACAACTTGAATGAACTGAGTTTAATCACTCATACTCTGCTTTTTGTTCTACACCAGTGGGTTTTCAAATAATATTCCCTAAGCATTAAAGAAGTAACTTAAAAGCCGGCATGGAGACTGAGGCAGGAGGATCACAATTCATTGCCAGCCTAGTGAGACCCTATCTCAAAATAAAAAATAATAAAAAGGGCTAGGGATGTAGCTAAGAGGTAGAGTGCCCCTGAATTCAATCTCCAGAACCCCCGCTCCAAAAAAGGAAGCAACTGAGAAAGCRAGGGGAGAATGGGGACAAGAGCAGGCAAGAAGAAAGTGGATTAGATAAGGCTCAAGCAACCAATCCATTTTAATCAAAAGTGTCATTTGATAAATGGATCATAATGCTATTTTTATTTTTATTATTTTTTTTAAAGAGAGAGTGAGAGAGGAGAGAGAGAGAGAATTTTTAATATTTATTTTTTAGTTCTCGGCGGACACAACATCTTTGTTGGTATGTGGTGCTGAGGATTGAACCCGGGTTGCACGCATGCCAGGCGAGCTYGCTACCGCTTGAGCCACATCCCCAGCCCATAATGTTATTTTTAGAAGAGTAGAAACCACTGTTCTATATCATAATATCATTAAAATAAAATATTCTCTTTTTCCTTTACATTAATCCCAATATAWCCCAATGTGCCTCAGTAGTTGCTTCTAAGTATCCCAATATGGGATAAGTAATCTTACTATTTTTTAAGGCGCTGGCAAACTCTGGGCCACCTTTGTCCTTGAAAACAGGAAAAACATCTGGTTGAGGCAGCTGATTGGTTGTCAACAGAGCTTTTTGTAGTTTGATCCTTCCTTCCAAGAGCTGGTCCCACAGTGCTAAGAAAGAAGAAAAGAGGACCCCACCTCTGAGTTATAAAATATTCTGGAATAGGGATAGGGGAGGAACAGGAAATCATACCAGTCTCTAAGCAACACAGCTTTATCAGTTTCATGCCATGGAAATACTCTTTATTTTAGGAAATAAATTCCATATCTTGGAAGTAAATATTTGCTATAAGAAAGGGAAATCTAAARCCACAAGTACTAGAGCAGAACCAGCTAAGCAGCTCAGTGCAGAAACGGCTGGCTAAGCATGGAGGAACAGGGCTTTAGGCCTTTGGGTAAGTGAGGCATGTCACAAACTAATTGGAAGAACACCAAAGAGACAGACCAGCCAAAATCAAACAAAAAAAAAGTTGCCAAAATGCATATACTTTGGGGTTAGGGTCGTGGCTCAGTGGTAGAATGCTTGACTAGCATGTGCAAGGCACTGGGTTCGATTCTCAGCACCTCATATAAATAAATGAATAAATAAAGATCCATCAACATTTWAAAAAAATGCATATATTTCTGAAAAACAAGTAACCAATAAAACCACATACAGACCTATCTGATTTTTCACTGCTCTTCCTTTCTCCACTTCCTCAGAAACCTTGACGCTGGAGAAGGTCATCACCACACCATCATCTTCACTGCTCTTGTCTCCAGCCCTGTCTTCCTCACTCTCATCCTCCCCGTCTTCCTCGCCGTCACCTTCTTCCATGCCACTCTCTTCATCTTCTTCCTCCTCACTGCTCCCAAGGTCATCCATTCCCTTGGCAAATTTCTCAAAGTCACTAATGCTCTGGAAACTGAAGCCTGGTGTTTCTGCAGAGAGGCTTCTATTCTTCTTCCAACCTGCCAGGCTGCTCTCCCCATCGTCCGCAGAATCTTGTTCCTCAGCAGTACTGGCGTCACCCTCATCTGATTCCTCAAGACCCAGTCCCTCTGAATCTCCATCTCCAGACCCTTCCTCAGGTATTTCATCATCTGAACCAGATGGGAGGGAAAAAAGAAAAAAATGGGCTCAGTGGTTAAGTAGCCCTGGTTTCAATCCCCAGTATCAAAAAATAAAATAAAACAGATATATGTATACTTAAAGACACAGACAATGCTGTCAAACATAAAAACAGAATGGGCATGGTGGCATACATTCACAATCCCAGCAACTCAGGAGGCTGAGGGAGAAAGATCGCCAAGTTAGACAGAAGCCTCAGAAACTTAGCAAGATCCTGTCTCAAAATTTAAGAAAGAGTTAAGGTTCAATCTCTGATACCCAAAAATATATAGATGCATATACAAGGTCCTGAGTTCAATCCCCAGCACTGCAAGGAATATACATACTTTTATAAATACAAAAACTAAGTGCAAAACCATCAAATAATCTTTTAAATTCTTTAAATGTACACCATTTCTGAGACTAAGAAACACTCAAACAACACAGTGGTTAAGTGTGTAGAACTTGAGCTGGGTACATGCCTATAATCTCAGCTACTCAGGTGGTGAGGTAAGAAGATCACAAGTTCAAAGCCATCCTGGGCAACTAAGCAAGAACTTGCCTCTAAAAAAAGGGCTGGGGATATAGCTCAGTGATAGAGCACCCTTGGGTTTAATCTCTTGTACCACAAAAAATTTAAAAATACTATAAAACTTAGAATCAGACTGTCTCTTCTGAATCATGGCTCTTCCACTTAAAAACTGTATGATTCTGAACAAGTTATTTAACTAATTGGCCCCTCACTTTCTTCATCTGTWAAATGGGGATAAATAATAACAATGGAGCTACTGAGAGCATTAAATAAAAAAATACAGGTAGTAATAATGGTGACAATATTTTTTGAGGATATACTATATTCTAGGCTCTCAGAACTACAGTGGATGACATGTGATGAGAGTTCTACAAAATTATCATATTTGTCTCATGACTGGTCCCTTCATCAGTCTCTAGACAAAGAATATGAAATGAGCTTATCAGAAGCTCCCAGAATTACATCAAGGACTAAATCATAGATATCATAACCCAAATGAYAGTTCTTTTTATGTTATCTGTGGATTCTCAATATGGCATTCCTGACCTCCCTAAAGGAAAACAAATGGCATCCTAAATAATCACCATATCTAGCCCCTTTTTCCACCATGAGCAACTTACAATTATTTAAAACTGTAAGCTCATATCCTCCCAACTTTTTTGCAGGGAAGAGGGAAGCATTATGTTATTCTTACAAGGACAAAATATGAGTTTCACAAATAATTAATACTATATAGTTGTCAATATAAGACCTGAAAAACAAAAGGGAAGGGGCCACAACTGAGCCAAACATGCTCATTAGATACCATACTTCTTTGACAAATAATCCTTTCCAGTATGCATTACCTTTTCTTTCACACCATTTTAGGGTGAACCATTAATATGAACCTAAATATAGCAACTTGATCACTCTGGGTTTTAGATTCCTGGTGAAGTGAAATGAAGAAACCTCTAGATCCTTTCCAAATACCAAATCATTGCTCTCTTCTAAGATAATAGATTTGCAGAGCATCAAAAATTAAAAGAAAAAAAGATTTATCCTGAAGAAATAGGGAAGAAAGAGCTCCATGCAAATAAATTCACTCACCAGATGAACCTGACAAAGTCRGCTCCCAATGGTCTTCCTTCCAAGCTTTTCTAGAAGTAGTCTTGCCAGAATATCTTTTGTCTGTGTCCAATAGGGAGGTTGATGCCAGTTTTCTAATACTACCCACTGCCTGGAAATCACCTTCTCCATCTTCCCCTTCATCAAACCTGTCAATCACTYTGGCAGCAGTGGCTGAGCGGGAGAGGGAAAAGTAATCAGAGTCTCAGGTTAGGAAGAACATTAATAAGACCTCTGTTAAACTCTTTCAATTCATACTCCAATGCCCTCTACAAAAATCCCCATCAAGTTCCAGAAATAGGGAATGCATTACTTCTCCAGGTAGATCACTTATCTTATTGATGTTTCTAAACAGAAAGCTGACTCCTTCTATCTAATAGTGAATACTTATCTATATTTATATTTACTATCTTGGATCCTGTAAAATTAGTCTAATTCCCCTTGCATGTAGACTCCGACTCCAATATCTTAAATCAGCCATCAAGTTCTACCTTCACTCCACCCCCTCTTTTGGAGAGTTTTCTTCTCCCTATCCTGGCTCAACAGCCCCGGGTTCCTTCAACTGATATTCCTAAGGCACGGTTCAGACTCACATTTATCCCTCATTATTATCCCTTCCTCACTCTTCTCTGACCTAAGACTAAAGCAGGATTAYTCCCAGCTAGACCTTGAACATCCAGCTTACAGTACAGTGGTATGTTGTCAGCCCCAGAGCAAGCATCTTGAGACCTAAAGAGGCTTAAACAGAATCAGGGAATACTACTTTTTCCTTCGTTCTCCAAGCAAGTTTTTAGAGGCGGCCTGACTTCAGACAACAAAAAACAAAAACTGATGAGCACTTCTTCCACCAAAGGTCAGTGCCAGTCAGGACTTCCTGAAAGATAATTTCCAACCTGCTATCGGGCCTGCTGCCACACTCTGGTTTCCTCCAACAGCCCTGGATCAACTTTAACCAGCTCTTGGCTGGAGTGCTGGGGATGAGTCCGGAACCGCCCACCCACTGGGACACCAAATCTAGAGGGCAGGTCGAAAGAAGCCGAAGTCCGGGGGGCAACCCTCGCAGGAGGCAATTTTCCTCTACAAGAGTAGGAGAGGTGGCGAGGCACGGCTGCAAACCCCTCACACGCCACCCCGATCCCCGCCAGGCAGAGCCCACAGCTCGACACGTGGCCCGCCTGTCAGGCCTCACCCTCCTCCGGGTCGGCCTCAGGATCCGCCTCTCGCGGTCGCGGATTCAACAACTGTTCCAGTTGCAGGGCCAGGGGCTGCGTTCCCGCCATMGTCACCAGGTCCGGGTTCGCGCTGTGCACGTGAATGTGCGACCCAAGCCCCTGCTCGAACGCTCTAAACCAGGCCAGAAGCTCTAGCTCAGACACTCCTCCACAACACAGCCAGGGACSGCGCGGAGCCTGGCGCCCAGCTCCAGACCGGCAACTTCCGGGAGGCGCGCGCGGGAGGGGGCGGGGCCTTCCGTGTCATACGGCGTTGCTAGGTTGAAGGCGGAAGCGCGCGGAAGGTTTAAGGGATTGTGGCCCTTCGAACGCGTGTGCGCGTGCGCGTGCGTCGAGGTAGCGTGTGGAGAGGCGCGGGAGCGCGCGGTGGCACGTGACTGCCTCTGGCTCGGAGCGTTGATTGCGTTGCGCGCAGCCCTTGTGCCCTTGCACAAAATATGCCTCAAGCTTTGTGTGAGGTTCATTTAAGAATAAAGCGTAGTGTAACCGTGGCCCACGGTGGCTGCTTTGGGAAGAAGGAAACCTTGGGTGCGTACTCACAGAGGCATATACTGGGACCCAAAACAGATTTGGCTTTTCATAATTTAGAGGAATCTGAGTCCGGGTTACGCTACCCACTCCTGGGTGGCTGGGATATGGAAATCCTATGTCAGGGATGTATATGTGTAAGTGGAAGCAAACTACTGGGCTCTTTATAAATAGGAATAATTAGGAATCACTATGTGCACAAATAGAGATGGTTTCTGTAGCTTCTCCAAGCAGTCTTGCCTGAACAAGGAAAAGGGGTGAAGTGGGGATTATTCTAGTGCACGCTCGGTATTTGATATCTTTACTACTTAGAGATGAAGGAGTACTTAGACACCTGGAACTGAGGCATAAATGTGAAAATTTTTTTTWAAAAATCTAAAAAACTCAGGTTCACTTTTAGAGGGGTAGTCTCAAAATATAAAGACAATAGAACAGATATAATTGCACCAGACATATGAAAAAAAGCAGYCCCTTTACAATGTCTTCTCTTCATTGAGCTTTCCCTGACTGCCCACTATGTGGCAGGCACTGCCAGATGAGATACAAGATGAGTAAGTTAGCTTCTCTACCACAGTGATCAGCCTAGGGGGACAGACAAACATGTAAACATAAACTTCAATAAAGAATGATAAGACTGACTAGACTACAAAGTGGTCTATCTTCCAGTATCTGTTGGAGGTCACTTGTAAAGACCTAGAACCAGCTAAATAGAAAAACTGCCTCAAAAGGATCCAGAAAAAAAGACTTAGGGATGCACTAAGGAAGGGCAGTGCCTCTTCTTCAGTACTGTCTGGGCCAGTTAGACCCCACAGCTGAACAACCTGAGCAGCTGCATTAGGTCCCCAATGTCTCCTATGTCAGAACCCAAAGGAAGAAAGGGTTCTTGACTTTTAGTCTTAATATACCSCCAGGTCAAGCAATGAAAGGAGGGACTTTAGTCCCTCCCCACATCCCTGTTCTATGTGGCTCTTCAATGAAGTCAACCATAGTTGCAGAGAGGAAGGAAACCCTGTCTTAGGGTAACCCCCTCAGATAGGGAAGGGAAAGAAGGCCAGGCTATGCAAGGGAACGCAGATGAAGAAAACCTCTTTTTTTGCCATCTGTGAGAAGACTCAGGCTATGAGTGCAARTTTTGGTTTTTAAATGTATCCTGTATAATTTCAGTCTTGTACCTGCATCTGGGCCTCTAGAGCAAAAATATGCTCTTCAGTTTTCCACAAGGTGCTATTACTCTGGCTTCAAAAATGTTTCCTCCATTCTACATTTGGAAAATGAAYTCCCCCAATCCCATTCCCTTTCTATTTGGGGCACTAATAGTGCTTAGAAATCTAGTCTTCCAGATAGAGAGAAAGGAAAAAAGGGAGAGGGAGGTGAGGCAGGGTAGAGACCTCCTCTAAATATCAATCAAACAGGACACTGGTAGCTCATATGGGGCTGGGCTGGGCAAACACTCAGCAGAAAATGCCAAAGACCTGCTTAACTACTTTCCCTTCTCTGTCCTACTCTCTATTGACTTGGGAATTCTTTTTTAGGAAAGAATCAAGAGCACTCCTGTGGTACACATTCCCAAAATGTTTCCCCCTGCTTTCTTACCCCATATTGAGAGTAAGAAATTAGAAGAAAGGATTCTAGGATTTCAGATACAACTGAGAGAAGTTAAGCCATAGGCTTAGAAGAGAAACCTCTCAAATGCTCCATCTGAGGGTCCCTCCCTAATTGCATTTTAGTTTCTTGAGATGTGGAGGAAGGGCTGCCATATCAAGATGGGTGGGGTGGGRGTGGAAATAGAAGTAGACTAAGGGAGGAAATGTTTCAGACTATACCTCCCTGGAAGAAATTTCCACCTCTGAGTGCTCTATAAATGAGAGCAGATGAGGTGAGCAGAGAGATGAGAATAAAAGGAGCAGTCTTCCAAAAGAACAGTCTGTCCTCTGGAGAGAAGGCAGGAGGTTCTCCTGTTTCTCCTGGTTCACAATCCCCCTGCCTACTAAGTTAGCTGCAAAGTAGCAGGCAGATGTAAGGAGCATCAGAGAATGGTCAGAGGTGACATTAGACATTCCCACCAACTGTTTGCTTGACCAGAAGTTTCAAGAGTTTAGGGGAAAACCAGATCCCCACCTGTCTCTCTTATCAGACTCCATCAAACCCCAGGTCCCAGACCAGTGGCGATGCTTGTCCAGGTTCTCCTCATGCTCTTTCCCCAACTTGTCCGGTACCAAAGCAAAATTGCCTAGTGTTGGCTGGCCAGCCGGGAGAAGTTGGATGGGTGAGCTTTTGAAGCTCCTTCGCCCGGAGCCCAAGGCAGCTTCCCGACGCTGGAATCCTGAGGGCAGGTGGCAGGAGGCATAGAAGTGGCGACCTTAAGATGGCCGCAGGGAGAAACCAGGCTGCCAAACTGGGTCTGAGAGGAGGCTGACCTCCCGGGCAAGAGGGGACCGCAGTGCTGCTTCTCTTCCGCTGGCGCTCCTCTCCCGGGAGCTCCGCGGAGGACGGTGTAGCGCTTCCCTCACTTTAGGGCAAGAAGTGTGGCGGCGCCGGCGTTGAAGAGAAGGGGATCAGACCCTGCCATTTCTAGAACTTTTCTTCCAGGGCCTTTGGCATCAAATTAGACTGCTGAGCATTGCCACCTGTTCTGGTACTCGCCAGGATTCACAGTACCGAGCTGAAAGGAAAGACGGTGCGACTGCCACGGAGTTAGAATTGAACCCACACCGCGTACCCAACTCTGAAACGCTTCTTATCAAATACCCCGATACCACAATAAAGCTGCTAAATAATTCAGCAGCCTTGATAGGAAAATGCAGCCTCCCGATGAGCATACGTTCAGTTAAATGAATGTCTTTAAGGGGGAGGGGATAGAGGTGGTGGCTGTAATGAATAAGTTAGCTATGATTTAATGTATATAAATGCGAAAAGGGCAAAAAACAAGCCGATTCGGTGATTGCATATAAAGCAGATRAAGAAAATGTGGTGTATGCCGAGGATAGGAGTTTCAAAGTCTCCCTTGTATTTCATAATTTTTTATTTCTGAAAGAACACTGCTAGATTCCTCCCTGATAGTGCCCCCTCTCGCATTTGATAAGCCATCATAGGGATGCAGTGAAATATTGCTCATTTTAAAGCCTTTCTCTGCAGGAAAGATAAAGTTGGCTGTGTCTTAACAAAATACGAAAACAGTGCTGGAAATTACACACTATTTAATATAAAAACTTTGATTTAAAAAAATAAGCAAATAAATAAGCCAGACTGAAATCTAGGTGATATGGAAAAGAAATTCTGGAACTCTAATAGCCTCTGATATTAAAACACATACATAGACCCAAGCACAAGTATTTCATAGTAGATAAAATATTCAAATTCTTTCCATTTCTAATGAAGGTTTGGAGGGAATTGAACTACTTTTCAGAATCTACTGGCAATTCCCAGTTGAAATTTGATTTTTCTATTATTTTTCTTCATCTTTCAGAGAAACTTACTATGTATCTTGTGCCAGACAAAATAGTTTTCCTTCTGGGGAACTTCAAATGTAACAGATACTATAAAATAACAATTTCATATCAGTTCTGTGAAAGGGATTAAAGTATTTCATTTCTAGCTATACTGTGCATTCATTTTACATTATCTTTCAAACCCCCAAATTAGAAAGTAGGATTACTATGGGAAATGAATTGAAACTAAAAAGGAACACCTCTAACTATATTTACAAGTATCTGACATTCCCAAGCCCAGTTTTGCATGTACAGAGAGAAGGGGAGAGAGAATGCTCTGGCTCTCATGCCTAATCACAGGCTGGGACCACTCATTTTTTTTTAGCCAGGGATTTCATTTCTATTTTAAATTCTATATTAACTTATCAGCAAATATCTCTTCAACTGTATCAGTTAAATCCACAGAGTACAAATCTGTATTTAATAGCAGCGGGAAASCATGGAGTAAAGCTTGGCTGGCATTAGTAGAGGAGTTCAGCCACAGCCAAGGCAAAAACAGATACATCAGCCCAATCCTGCTTCTCTTCTAGCTTCTGAGACCCACTCAGTACCCCTCAGGGCTTCCCTCTAGTCAACTGAAATCATCAAATACCACACCAGTTATCTAAACATCAGGTTTTCTATTTTTATTAAAAACTCACAAATTTATTCAACATGTTTTCTTTCATACAGTGAATGGTCTAATATGCACTGGAGGTCACACAAGCTTAGGTTTATTAGAACAATAAAAGACATATGAGAAATTTAATATATGAAGAAAAAAGTAGCAGCTGTTGACTGCATATTTGACCATAAAATTTAAATATTTTGGACTTTTATTTTAAAGACACAAAAATAAAACCTGTGTGGGTCTATATAAGTCATATTAACAATTCCATGAATGTTCAACAGGACTAAAAATTAGCAAAGATGTTTTTTTTTTTAAACCTTGTAACACTTTTTTTTTTTTTAACACTTTCTCAGGTTGCTGGTGCCAGGCACCTTTTACAGTATTTGTGCTATAATTATTCTATTTGGCAACTGTCTGAATATCATGTTTTCTTTGCCTCGCGTAAACAACACTTTTTTACATACTAGCACAGTGAGCTGAAAGCCCTGCAAATCTGTCAGAACATCTACAGGAAAAGAAAAATAACAATTTTGGTTGATTGCTCAAAACATTTTTTTTGAACAAGAGGTTTCAAAACAGRATATATTAGTAAAACACTGAACTCCTGAATTTAACATTATACGTAAACAGTTGACTGTTTTTAGTTCAATAGTCTTTTTTTAAACTTTTG